TTCAGTACATTATGCATACTAATGCATGCACTCAGGGACTGTTACATCTAAGCCCAAAGCAAGCAGTTGGTAAGCACATGCTGCTACACTGTAGGTAGGAACTCAATCAATGAAATCCCTCTGCTTTGCAAAAAGCCACTACATTGAGAAAAATGAACACAGATTAAGAAGAACAACATACCTGTGTCAACATCAGGGGCAGTTCCTGCCCACACACATCCGTTCATCAGTTCTGGAAGTGCAGAGTCCCCAGGCTGGACCATGTGCTTAACCTACCTGAATGTGCAGGTACCTTGGTGCAGGCAATAGTAATGATATGTTTTCAAGAATTATCTTCCTGCACAAGCTCAGCTCTCTCTCAAGTTTAGACATAAAGGTCCTAACTCTCAATATGGGACCATATTTGGAGATAGGGTCTTTTTCTAGAGGTAATTTATATAAAACAGTGTAATTAGGGTGGGCTTTGATGCAACAAGACTGGCGTCCTTATATAAAGAGGAGACCGAGGCACAGACACAAAGAGAAGGCAATGTGAAGGTCACCAAAAATGACCATGTATCAGCCAAGGAATGATGTCTGAAAGCGACTGTCCTTCATGGCCCTCAGAAGAACCTCCTAACACTGTGATCTCACACATCTGGCCTCCAGAACACTGAGAAAAATGTTATTTCTGTGGTCTGATCTACCCAAGCATAGTGCTTCAGAATTCTGCTGAATGAACACAGGCCCCTCACAAATACTAAAGCCAAAAAGAGTCTAGACGGCTACCCTTAAGAATCTGCATGCTGTGGTTTGCATCTGAAATGCCCCCCAAGGCTCATACATCAAAAATTGATCTTTTTTTAAAATCAATATCCAGAGGTGTTGATCTTGTAAGGCCATGAATTTCACTAGTAGTAAATCTACCAATGAGCCCATAGCTGAATGGGGTGTTAGGAGGAGAGACCTGGGTTAAGCAGGTCACTGCAGTATGCCTTTAACGACTTTTGTGTTTTTATATTCTCCCACCTCCCTCTTCCTCCCTCGTCTTTTCTCTCTCTCCTTCCTGGTTTTGATAGAAGTAGCTTTCTTCTGACTTCTCTTTATGATGCCTCACCTCATACAGACCCACAGTATCAGAACCAGTGACCACAGATGGAAATGTCTGGAAAGCACAAGCATGTTGTCAGTCACAAAAGGCTGACTAACATCTGAGATCTGCCCTTTTAATTTCATTGGTCCCACTTCCTCCTATTGCTCATCTTCACCTTCTCACCAATATATGGCGAGCCTGGAAGTTTCATGCTAACATCATATCACAATTGCGCCAAAGTATTGCTGAGGTCCCAAGAATTACCATTATCCCTATGACAACTTGCAACCATCTATAGAGAGGTACAGTAGGACAGGCCCATAGTGTTGAGAAAATTGGATTGGCTCAAATCAGTTGCCAAGGCATGCACATAACATACCTCCTTATGAACCAACCTGAAGTCTGCCTGAGGGCCTAGCAATAGGTGCTGTCAGAGTTCCTGGTCACTGTCAGAGTTCCTAATCATGCCCAGCCAATGAGGGATGACCATGCAATGCCACCAGATTGTGACACAGACTGGGTGCTGGGAGGAGGGTATATAAGGCCTTCCCCATTATTGAATAAAGGAGTTTGTTGTTTGCCTTCAACTGACTTCCAGTGTCTGTGCTGTTGACACTGTGCCTTCTCACCTGGTTCCCCCAAGGAAGCCATTAGAATCCAGCAACATTTGGTGCCTGAATGTGGGGCTTCTGTTACTTTCTCTCCCACAGTACAAGTTCTGATCATCTCCTTCCCTTGACAGCACCCCCAAGATGGTGTGTTTTGGTGAGAAGGCCCCTCAGTGTTGTGTTCTTTCCATCCCTTTGGCAGGTAAGCACTGGGACCCCCATTTCTTTCCTTCTTTCATGTTGTCTGGCCATGCCATTAGGAAGGCACATTTTTTTTCCTGTTTTGGTTCACCCAGCACCTCCACATAAGGATTGACACCCCAGGAGGTGGAACCAAGGCTCAGCTCCCCAGTGTCCCTCATCTGGAGATACTGTGTGGGAACACGACCATTGCCTAAAAAAACATGGATGTCCCCCATGAAGCACAAGACATAAGGATCCTATACAAATTCCATCCCCGTTGACTGTTAATCTTCTTTTATATGCCTGCTGTTTTCCTCTAAGAGATGGGTAATCTTTTCATCACCCCCCACCACCCCCATGTTGGACATTTCTATGCTCGATCTGATGATGAGGAGACAGATGGTTTGGGCCAAGTGAAATCTGTCAAGAACACAGCTGTCACTTTGGGCCCCAAGATATCTGTCAGGGAGAACATAGTTGTCAGCGTGGGTCCCATGAAATCTGTCAAGAACATAGCTGTCAGTTTGGGCCCCCCAAATCTGTCAAGGAGAAGGCAGCTGTCATTATGTGCTGCTCCCCCTTCTGCTCAACCGCCACTGCGGGCAGCTACACCTCCATGACATTCTTGGGGTGATCTAACTTGGTACCTGCCTGCCTCAGGAGGTGGCTACTCTCCTGCAGTGCCAGGTATCTTACAGCCCTCACAGCCTGCACCACTGCAGGCCCACAGGAACCTTCCAAGTCAATGTGGGCCCATGTGCCGATGCCCAGCCCTGGATTCACACCCCAGAGCTGATCTCTCCCTCATTTGGAAGGGAGCCATGTGTCAGTTGGCCCAGAGTCCCCCTACTTTCAGCAGGTTTTCACTCAATGGTCCGTGCAGTTACAAACGTATTTCGATTGGTACCATTTACTTAAAGCTGTACTGGAGCCTGCAGTCTTTTTCAGTTGGAGATTGGCCTATGATGATCAGACAGAGTCCCAGACACAGACAAACATCTTACTTAATGCCCCAGTGACCTATGATATGCTCACAGGGAATATGTCCATCCAGTGCACCAGGTACAGATTGGCTTGAATGCCCATTTTCAACAGGTCTCAGACCTGGCCCTCAAGGTCCTACAAGGGGCTCAGTCCAGCCTACAAGCACTGGGCATCTCTGCCAAAGAACACACTGTTGCCCCTGGTGAGATGGAGAAATTCTATCTCCCTGCAATGGCTGCTGCCAGCCCCTCTGCTAACCCATGGGAAAAGGTATGCTTATGTTTTTCCTCAGAGTACCACTATGCCAATATGGGTCCCTGCAAGTGATGTATACCTGGTCACAGATCATTCTGCTTCCACCAAGGAGGAAATAACCTATGATGGGTAATATATCTACTCTCCTTTCTTGCTCTCATTGCTCCTCTAAAGGCTGAAGACTTGTGGGCTCTCATGTTTCCTCATTTGCATAATGCTTTTTGAGATGAGGAATGTTAGTTTAGTAGGCCAGGAGCTAGCTAAATATATTAAGGGCCCATGGTCAGCTAAGTTTCTATATTATCCATTACAGCTAACACATAAAATTTTCCAATTAAATCAGACAAGGGCAGAGGGTATGGCCTTTGACTACTTTTTTGAGGTTTGGCATGTTATAAAAAGGCTATTTGATCCTTCTTGGATTTTCACCTACGTTTTGATTGGTGGGGTGGTGCATTTAATCTTTCTCCTTTTTAAGTGTCTCCTACAGCACATCCACCAACAACAGGCAGCCACTAAGGTGACTTTACAGGTGTTAATGGCTCTTAGACATCCAACTCATAGCCCTCTCCAGGAGGTTATACAAGCCTGGCTTTCTGAAATTCAAAAGGCTACTTTACCCTCCCCACCCAGGGTGACTCCCCAGGGATGGATGCTCTTCTAGGGTTGATAGTCAGTGACGGGTAAGAGCTTGATTGGCAATCCAACCTAAGACAGGCATAGTCCAATTGCTGAGTGCCCCCCCCCCCCTTTTAGGTGGGGTCAACAAGGATGGAGCAAAGAACTCTGACTCCCGTTCAGTGCCCACATAATAAAATAAAAGGGTGGATATGTAGTAGGACAGGCCCATAAGGTTGAGGAAATTGACTCAAACCAGTTGCCAAGGCATTCACATAATATAATTCCTTATGAACCAACCTGGAGACTGCCTAAGGGCCTAGCAACAGGCGCTGTCAGAGTTCCTGGTCATTGTCAGAGTTCCTGATCATACGAGCCAATGAAGGAAGACCACGCAATGCCACCAGATTGCAACACAGACTGGGTGCTGGGAGGAGGGTATATGAGTCCTTCCCCATTATTGAATAAATCAGTGTGCTGGGTTTGCCTTCAACTGACTCCTGGTGTGTCACTGATGCTGTGCCTTCTTACCCCCTCCTCCAAGAAAGCCTTTAGAATCCAGCAATGGGGCGGGGGGGGGGTGTTGGAAGAGGATATTCAAATAGTAAACATGTAAGTAGATGGCACCTGACGTTAATTTGTCCCACTGTTTGGGAGGAGGTACAGGGTCCTTTCCTTGCCACCAGCAGCCTCCCGGAGTCTGGTTCTATCTCTCTGTGTCCTATCTAGTCTCTCTGGGCAAGAAGTCTAGCCTATAGTCATCATGAACTCTCTGCAGCTCTGCAAAGCCCGGTCCACTCTCACTTCCCTAACTAACCCATTGTGGCTCTGTGCAAACACACTCGACCTAGAAACCTCTCAGCCCATGGCCAAAGCTACTGTCAGTGCAGTTGCCTCTAGGGAACTTCCTCTCGCCACTCTGAGACCGAATCAGGAGTCCTTCCTCTCTGCACCCATGGCTTTCGGTTGCCCTCTGATCTGTCAACCCCTGCTAGGTGCCTTTGCCCCCCACTGTGCAAAGACAGAGCCTTCATATTTTGAGCAGCACTGAAGAATGACAGACAAATAGTTACAGAAATTGTACTCTTCTAACCCCCAGAAATGCACATCCTATCTCTAGGCAGAGAACATCACAAGTCAAAGCAGAGAACTGGGTTTCTCCATGTCACTAGCACTAACTAAAAGTGCTAAACACTAACAAGAGTGAAGCTGGAGGCTTTTCATGTGAGCCTTCTATCCTAAAGCTCTGTTCCCAACCCTGCATGAAGTTACAGTCTTACCTTAGACTTTGGACCTGGTGTTTTCATTTCCTTTGGTAGTTGAAGGACAGATATTTCTAAAAGAACACCTAAAAATGAACACAAGAATGAATCTTTCAGTCATCTTTACAAAAAAAAAAGTCACCCAAAGCATTTAAACAATGGCACAGAAGCCAGGACAATGTTTTATCTTGGTTGCTTTGAATGATGTAACAAATGATGCAATAACCAAGGAGAGCAGGGTGCCGCAAAGTCAGTATTCATAATATATAAATAGCACTTATTCATTAAAAAACAATTTTCTAAATGTGAAAATGACTATGCAAAATTGATGGGAATGGGCAGGACATTTTATAAGAAGCCAGACCTCACTGGTAGATTAAATGGGACTGCATTTCACCTGCCATGCCTTACTACAAGTTTTTAATGACAGAAGCAAATGATGGGAAGAGGACATGGATTTCCTTTCAAGAGAAAAACTCAGCGGGGGATGAATATCAGGGAAACTTCACAAAGACTAAGAACTCACAGAAACAATCCCAACTAAATAGGTATTCTAAGTTTGCTACGGACAGAAGCACCATCCAGCACTATTCATCAGTGCAAACCAGGACACTGCTCAGTATATTTGAGACTCAGCTCCTCACGCAGAGGAGTCCAAGAACTGTAGCCCACTTGGTACAGATCAAATGCCAAAGCGCGTGCAGCATCGCTTAGCGCGGAGCGCACACGTGGGGCATCACTTAGCATGCAGTGGGCACTTCACGTGCAATTCTCGTCATCGCTGCAGCTCCTCAGAGACTCAAACAGCAACTGCTCGCCGCTGAGTGACATCAAGCTTTCTGACCAAGGCCCCAGCAGCCACCCTGGCATACCTTACACTGCAATGCCAACCATAGACAGTTGGGCAGTTGATAGAGTGCTTGCACAAAATCTCCCGTTAAGATCAACCACAAAATGAGGTGAGACACTGAAGGAGGGTACTTTTACCATGGCCGTCTACAATCTTAACATGTCGTTAAAGAAATGGTGGATGATGTGTGCTCAAGGATAAGGAATGCGGACAGGGCTGTAGCTCAGCTGGTGGAGCGCAAGCACGCACAAAGCTCTGGTCTTAATGGCAAGCACCGCAAAGACAGGTGAGGTATAGCATGCCTGTAATCCCCAGCATTGAGGAAATAGAGGTAGAAGAATCAGCAATTCAAGGCTATACTCTCTCTCCGATCGAGAGTCTTGAGGGAGACCATCTCCCTCTTATTCCCCCAGGGTACTCTTGGGCAGGGAGAAATGAGGAATTTGTAGGTAGAAGTATATATAGAGAAACAGGCAGGAAAACACAGGAGAGCCTCGGGAGGGCCTGGGTCTGAACTCACCAGCCCCTTCTGTCTCTACTAAAGGGCTTTTTAAAGGAATGCCAAGGGGTGGAGCAAAAGACTCCCCTCCCCCCAGCACAGCCGAGTGCAGATCATTCCAGACACCTGGTGACCCTGCACATGGTCCAGTCATCCCCTAATGCAACCCTGCTGTGTAAAGCATGCTCAGATCTCACTAGGAAACCTTGACAGGCTTCCACAGAGTCTGAAGCCAGTGTGATCTACATGAGACTCTGTGCCACCACCAGAAAGAGCAAGAAATGTAGATAAAAGATATAGCATATTGAGTATGTTCATGTACATGTTTTATATGTGCACATACTATATTATAAAGTGGATATATATGTGTATATATATACATATATACATATATACATATATATATATGTATATATGAAGTGTTTTGTATGTACTGGTTATAGATAACAAGTATATATAGATATATATATAGATACATATGAGGGAGGGAGGGAAACTGATCCCTTAATGGAAGAACTTGTAACCCTCATAAGTAAGACTCTTAACATTATCATGTAGTCAAAAATGCAACTAATTGGACATTTATTAGTACTTGGATTCAGAAGCCCAGTGACAGACACATCTCATGATACACACATGCAAAAGTACTTCATGTTTATTACATTTGAAAACCACAGTTTTTAGTGCTTCTGACTTTTTGACAGAATTCTCAAATGTCAGCACATGACTGAAAGTAGCCTCAAAGTGCGGCTGTGAAGAGTGTATCCACAGTCAGATTTCCATAGACACTTTACACGCCTTTTAATTCCTTTTATTCTCGGAATCATTTTAAAAAAAAAGAGAGAAGGAGAACTAGTTTTTTTCAAAGTACTTTAAAAATTCAACACAATAGTAACTCAAAAAGTGTGGGCAGAGAAGCATGGTGATTTTAAGGGCCCTGTCCACTAACAAGGGAATTCAGGAGGAATGTCACCTGAATCAAAGATGTGTAAATAGCACACCTGATTGTTAGCCGAGAGATCCTGCTTTGAACAATTATTTAACGTCTCAATGTTTAACCTTCACACAGGCTGCTGCCTTCCCCACATGAGTACATTGCTTCCTCAAATGGAGAGAAACTCATCACTTAAACATGCCTTTTGACTCTCTCCCCCACTTTCCTGTGTGAGTCATTTCTAGATAATCCAATTAGAAGGAAGGACATTCTCTCCTGACTTTAACATAATCACAGCAGACCACCCCACCTCGAATCCCCCCAAACACAGCCCAAGTTATACAGTGGGTAGAACAGTGCGCACAGCTTGGCTACTTCCTCTTCAACCTGATCCAAGGTGTTCTGCCCTCCTCAGCTTTGCCTTGGTTTCTCTCCAAATCAATCATCCTTTCTGCTCAGTCCTGGGAGCCACGTGAGTTCCTTCTGTCCCTAACACGGAGGCCCCAGAGCAAAAGTTGGAGGCAAATGCACCCAGCCCAGAAGCAAACACGCCTTGCTCCAGCTTTGGCCCACAATAAACACATGCTCCGACGTTGCTCCTTTGTAGATTCTGAACAAGTTTCATGAGCCAGTATCTCACAAACATCTGCCTTCATTATAATTATATTTCTATTTCAGCCGCACCAAGCTATTTACAGAGGAGCCTGTTCATAAGGAGCTTTATAATTAAGCAAACAGAAATATCTTTTTATAGGATGCAGATCTGGGGGTGATAATCACACACAAAACACACAGCAACAGTTGCAAATAGAGTGTTTAACGCTAGTTATATAGTTAGTGATGTGCTCAATAAAGCCTGACATGCCTTTGTTCCTAAATACGAGAAAATATGGTCTTTGCTACACTGCAGTGTAAACTGTCTTCTGTTTTTTTTTTTTTTCCTAAGCAAAGGCCATGTTATTCAGGATAGGTTCTTAAGATGTGTATGTGTGTTATGTGTACGTGTGTGTTTTATATGACAAAGTTACAACATACATTCTCTGGCTTAGTAGCATTTGAAATCTGCCTGGAATTTGGAGAAGGGAGCGAGCGAGCGAGCGAGCAAGCAGATTCTAAATATAAGCAAGGATGTATGGACGCACAGAATGTGACAGATCAAATTAGCAGAGTAGAATCAATGCGATGGTATTCTGGAAGTAGCTGCTAGACAAAGGGAAACAAAAAAATGCTAATGGTGGTGTCGGAAGAATTTCGCATACTCCAATCAACGTCAACCAGGGCACCCTGCCTTCTGCCAGGAATGTCAGCCTTACCTCACGCACCTTTCAATAGCTCTGACCAACCCTGCCCTTGCCCACGACATTCTGAAGCTTGCCGGCCTGCTTGGCCATTCAGAAGTTATGTGATCCCAGAGTTCCGATAAAAAGCAGCCATTGTGTGTTAAGACTCCGCCTTCAGTCTCAGAGTTCATACATATGATCTGCCAGAACTTTATTCTCAAAGCAATTACTCCTGAGAGTGTGCATGGTACATTAGAAATATTGTAGAAACTGATCTGACAAATACAAGCAGGAGAGAGTGGGAATGCCAGGAGAGATATGCCTCAGGGGGCGCGAGTGCTTTCTTTCAAATTTGAGGACCTGAGTTCAAATCCTTAGCACTCACATAAAAAGCCAGCACAGCCAAAAAGCACCCCCACACACACTCTCACACTATAACAATAAAGAAATATGAGAGAGAAAAGAAGTTCAGATCTTAAATATCAATTATCTTTTATCTGGTAACTCCAACAAAATATTTCCCTATATAATTGAAGTAATCTAAAATATGACTCCAATTGTATATAAATACATATGTGTATAAATACATATATACTGTACATAAATGCATATAAGATAAATTAATAAAACAACTTTTATCCCAGAAAAAGATTAATCATTGTCTGTCTCTATTATAACCACAAAGTTTGGAATCTCCACAAATACCCAAATGAAAGAGGATAATGATTCACCATACCCACACAATGGGCTCTCTACCTGTCATAAAGCTGTTGTCTTAAGTTAGCAATGATTTAGAGGAATTATTCTTCTAGACAGGGTCAGGGCAGAAGGGTACACAGTGTAAAACCAATTGTGTGCAGACAGAAGCATCCAAAGTGGGAAGAAACAGACCAAGGCGCCAGTAGCAGTTAAAGCTAGGAGATGTTTTTACATGAATTTTTCTTCATTCTTCTTGACTGTGGTTTTCCCCAACTTTTTTATGATAATTTAGCTACTAAGTTAAGCTTCAACCAAAGGCCACTGTGTAACTACGACCAATTTCAACATCCGTAATAGTTATAAAATTGAAGATTTTCATCCATCTCTGTAAGACTTGTGTTACCTTTTCAGTTTGCGAATTAGAACCTGTGCAAGAGCCGGGCATTGGTTGTCAAGTAATCCCAATGACTGTGTCTTTTTATCTGGGTTGGCATTAATTTTATTTTTCCTTTTTACTGGTTTTAAGTCACAAAGTGGTAGAGGAAAGCAGAGTGGGTTGGGCAAATTTCTCTGGATGGCAGATGCCACCAGGTGACACAGACACCAGTGGTGTGGACCTGAGGTCCAACGCTCACACCAAAGCCTCCACAGTGAGTCTTTGGACTCTGCTATCTTAACTAGGATAGAGAAACTACTGAGGAACCGGTTGAGGTTTCAGACTGGTCTGTAATTTGAATGGACTCCCTCCCTAGCTCTGGTGACAGGATCATTGACAGCAGACTCCTCTCATTTTCTCACCTTTGAAGGGGTCCCTGAAGCCATCG